CCCGCCTGCGCGCACCTGCGGCCCTCGCGCGGCCCCAGCGCCCCGACGTCTGCTCTTGGCCTTGGCCCCGCCCGGTCTCTCATCGGGTCCGGGAGGCGGGGGTTCCAGCCCGCACATAACTCCGGACCCCAGAATCACCTCTCTGTGGGCGGAAGGGGCCTCGCGGGTAGATTTGAGTCCCCCGCAAGAAGCAACCCTCCAAATCCAGCTACCCCCTGACCATCACAACTCGCACCTCTAAAATGTACGCTCCCAGAGGGCAGGGGGTTTTGCTTTGTTCACTTATGAGCGTTTTGTACCATGCCTGACAAATGGTTAAAAAATAACCAAGCCCGTTGACATCAAGTCAGTTTCCACTCACAGCAACCCCGTGTGTTACGGAATAGAGCTGAGCTCCATAGGATTTTCTTGGCTGTAATCTTCACAGTGGCGCAAAAGGTTAAGCGCTTGGAAAGGTTGGCGGTTGAACCCACCCAGAGGCGCCTTGTAAGAAAGGCCTGGTGATTTGCTTCCGAAAGGCCACAACCTTGAAAACCCTGTGAAGTGCAGTTCTCCTCTCCACACATGGGATCACCATGAATTAGAATAGACTGGAAAGCGACTGGTTTTAATCTTTACAGAAGCAAAGGGCCAGGCCTTTCTTCCTTGGTGCAGCTGAGTGGGTTCTAACCACTAACTTTTCTGTTAGATAGCTGAGGGCAAACTGTGCCACCCAGGGACCTATTGTCACATGGTAAGTGCTCAATAAATATTTGTTGAATGTATGAATCAACGAACTATATATTATTATAAGCTTAGCATTGTTTTTAAAGTGACTTTTTACTTATTTATTTTTCAAAGTATCAGTTGTCATAAATAGAAAGCAGAGGTAAAAATTAAAAATAAGACACTATTAAATTCTAACAGAGTCAAAAGCACTGAGTGTGATGCTTTGCAAGTGTTGAGAGAGATGTTAAAGAATACTGGCATCAAACTGAAACTTTCTTCTAAGAGGAAGGCTTGAAAGAGGATTACAGAGCGAAGGCAAATCTCACCCCACGAGTCAATGTTAATTGAAGTGGTGTTCCTGAGCCACCTAAAATCCTCTCATGGATCACCGCCGATTGTGAACTGTCCATACTTGTGGAAACACTGCTCGTGGAGATGACTAGAAAGGTTGGGAAGAAGTTGTGAACCCATTTTACAGTTAGGGAGGCATCACAATCAACAGTTGTTATTTTTAGCCTCTGTTGATCCTGGCAACAACCCTGTGAAATGGATGTTATCCCCATTTATCAGATGAAGAAACTGAAGCCTGAAAATTAGAAAAACAGAGACCCAACTTAAGACTTCTGGTTCCAAGAGGCCCTCTCCAGCATCTTGGAAACCTGAGAACAAAGTGTCACACTTGGGAGTCAGAAATACTGAACTCTATTGTCAGCTTTATTTCACGGATGTACTGTTGGTGTGTTTGCAGAATAGCAGCAATAATTACCTCCTCCATCCCCCCACCCCCTCGTATACTTGCCCTTGCTTGTAACTTTGACTCTGGGTTTACCCATGTGACTTACTTTGGTCAATACAATGTTTGCAAATGTGCTGCTTGAACAGGCTGGTAAAGCACCTGTAACATTGGGGTTTATCCTTGCTTACTGATCTTGAAATGTGAGATCACCACCGTAGGAACAAGCCCAGAATAGTTTACCGGATGATGAAGGACCCACAGTCGATAGCCAACCAACTGCCGGATATGTGAGTGAGACCATCGACCACCAGCTGACCACAGATGAACAAGTGAGCCCAGCAGAGATCAGCAGACAGACTACCCAGCTGAGCCCTGTCCAAACTGCTAACCCATGGTAACCCATGCTTAATAAGTGATTGTCGTTTTAAGACCAAGTTGTGGACTGATTTGCTATGTATCAAGATATAACTGATATAAATGGTGACAGGCCTGAGTTACCTGGACCCTCCCTGGCAGCCCTTAAAAAAGCAACAGCCCTTAACATCAAAACCTGTTGGTTCTCATATAAAGATTCTGCAACAGAGTGGAAGGCCAGGTGCTGTGAGAGAGAACTAGTGTACTAGCCAGTACATTAATTCCATTCCTGGTCTGTACAAATACTGTACTCATCCTGGGAAAGTTCAAGAACATTGCAGACCATGGTCCCTGCCCTAGAGGAGTTTACCATTGACAATTTGCAAATTAATGCTCTAGGGAACAAGAAGAGAGAAAGAAAAGAGTGGAATGCAGCTGAGGTTTCTAGTCTTCTGACCATGCTGGGCCACCTAATTATTCTCTTTTTAATCCAAGGAGGTGGAAAGCAGGTCATTCCTGAGCTGGACATCCAGGGTTAACTCAGCACCAAGCACTTGTTCCTAACAGTCCCATGTCTCATGCCTAAAAAGCAAGGTACCATCTGCCAATATATTGCCCTCTGGTGAACCATCTGGTTTCACTCTGACCTGTCGATGAAATAGATTATAGGAAGGCTAGGAATAACTTTGTCCATCTGCCTTCTGCTGTCTCCTGGTCTGCACCTTGCTCTCTTGCTGCATCCGGGTAGGTAAGCAGCCCACCCCTTCTAGGTACCACATTAAGCTGAGGCTTTCAGTACTCCTGCCACTTTGGAGTCTTCACTTTGGGATTTTAAGCAGCAGGACAATCAGCCAGCTGTTGGGAGCCAACGAATCTTCACGCTAGACATTGTGTACCTTCCAGACAACTCTGTGTGACTCCATTTCTCTTATTTGCTTTCTTTCCCTGGAGTCAGTCAGCCAGTTATTCTGTATTTAAAAATAAAATTGAGGAGGAAAATCAGAGAGTGGCAAGCCTCTACCCTCCCCAGCGTGTGGAGAAACTTTGAACTCAGTTGAAAGGGCCTCTCCAGTTGCCTGGATTTCCCTTAGAGGCTTCATGCCCCAAGTCCCAGCCGGAACCTGCTTAGCTTGTGAGATGTGATAAAATCACAAACCAAGGCAATGTAGCTGCAAGCCATTCTTTTTTATCTCTTTTCATTTATGTAGCCTGACATTGAGTAATAATAATAATTAAATGCAGGTTAAGCTTTTAGGCACCTATATGAGACGGCCTCTAGATAGCTCATCAACAGCAACTCAGGCTGACAAAAACAAAGCTAATTATGTTGTGGTTAACTTTTTTCAAAGGGAAAATCAAAAAGCTTGCCCATGATCCTCACCTCTGAGAAAAGCAGTACATTAAATGTTCCCTTCGACAGTCCATTTGCACAGGCCCAGTTTAAACGCAGGTGCCCTTGTCTTAAATCTGCCACCCTGGCACTAAGTATTGGAGCCCTGGTGGCACCGTGGTTAAGAGCTATGGCGTGCTATGGTTCCTAACCAAAAGGTCAGTGGTTCCAATCCACCAGCCGCTCCTTGGAAACACTTGGAGCAGTTCTACTCTGTGCTATAGGGTCACTATGAGTCAGAATCAACTTGATGGCAATGGGTTTGGTTTGTTTTGGGTTGGCACTAAGTATGGGAACATTGGCTTTAGTCTCTATTTTCATTTCCGTTAGCTTTTAAAAAATCATCCCCAGGAACCCAATTTTTCCAGATGTATTCATAGCCTCAGGGCCAGTAGTATTTATTTATTTATATGCACATATAGTGTTAGAAGAAAGTGCTTAGATGCTTTTGAGTGATGCTTTTCACTTTTAAAAGTTTGAGAGCGTTTTTGACATGGGAACTCCAAAATAGCTTAATCTAAGAAATTGAACTAGCAGGTACTCATGGAAAGAAAAAAAAAAAAAAAACTGTGGAGCGATTAGGAAAGAAAGGACAGCTTGAATTTATTGTTAGAGACCTAAGCTTCTTGTTACAGGTTCTCTACTGACTTGCAAGATGATTTTGGCCAAGTCCCAACAGTCCCAGACACACAGGAAAGCCCACAAGCTTCTGAAACAACTTTTGCAGACAGTATTTTCAGTGCAAATCCTGGCTGCCCAAGCAAAAATGTCAGCATTCTCATTAAAGGAAATGAATCAAATCTCCAGGAGAGATTTTAGCGAGATTTTTCTCTGAACTCCTTCACTTAGGGAAATATTCATGGCCACACTTTTCCCCAGTCACTTTTCTCCTGGAATTGAGAGACCCAGTTTCCCAGCCTGAACATGATTCATCAGGACCATGGCTTATAGTGGTAGATACATATACATACATCATATATGTGTGTGTATGTGTGTGTGTATGTGTGTGTATTCCTGTTCCCATTGCCATCAAATTGATTCCGACTCATAGTGACCCTATAGGACAGAGTAGAACTGCACCACAGGGTTTCCAAGGCTGTAATCTTTACAGAAGCAGACTGCCACATCTTTCTCCCAGGGAGCGGCTGCTGGGTTGAAACCACCAACCTTTCAGTTAGCAGCCGACCACTTAACCACTGCGCCACCAGGGCTTTCTCTCTCTATAAATATATATATGTATATCTATATATTTTTCCAAATCAGCTCTTGTAAATGGGAGGCCATTTGACAAGCCCAGCTGGGATCCCCATGGCCTGGTTGCTAAATGACTTCCTTTGCTCTTGATTTTAACAAGAGTCAGCTGACTACAAAGGCACCTGGGTGGCACAAGTGGTTTGCCATTGGCTGATAACTGAAAAGTTGGCAGTTAGAACCCACCCAGCGGCTCTAAGGAAGACAGGCCTACAGATCCACTTCCGTAAAAATTGTTATTGTTGTCGTTAGCTGCATCCAGTCATGGGGGCCTGTGTGTTAGAGTAGAATTGCTCCATAGGCTTTTCTTGGCTGTAGCCTTGG